GGGGTGGGCGGGGGGCGCGCGGGGGGGGGTGCGGCGCTGGGAGGGCAGCGGCGCTCCCGCCACGGGTTCGGATTCTATGTATAGGGATGGCCGGTGCGCTCACTGGCTGAGCGTGGTGCGGCCGGTCTCAAAAAGGACAAAAAATAAATAAAAAAATAAACAAGATGACATATATTCACATATGCATAGTTTCTCTGGAAGACAACTAGAAAATGGTCACAGTGGGTGCCCTGGGAGAGAACTATGAACCTGAGAATCAGTAAACAAGATGACATATATTCACATATGCATAGTTTCTCTGAAAGACAACTAGAAAATGGTCACAGTGGGTGCCCTGGGAGAGAACTATGAACCTGAGAATCAGGGTGGGACCTATGCATACCTATCAGCTGTTTACTTTTCCTTTTTTCTTTTCTTTTCTTTTTATTTTTTTTAATAAAATACCAGTTGCATTTCTCCCCTTGAAGAAAAAAAAAAAGGAAAATGGTGTGTTAATGAGATGCCAACGGCCAAAGCTACCATCATTAAGAATCCCAATTAATTTTTTCTTCCTCCATGGAGAGATTATCAATGAAAGGTAGCAACTGATCAAATTCCAGTTGAAAGCAAAGAAATTCAATCTTTTCAGTCCTTTTGCTGACAAAAGTACAATTTCATTGGGTTTCTGCTGTATTCCATGGAACCCTTGATGACCTTCACTGGTTCCAGAGGTCAAGGAACCTGACTGTGAGTCCCTACATGATGGTGCAGACAGCACAGACTCTCCTTTTATGATTTTGAGACACTTCTCTGATAGTTAATGTTGTTATCCACCAAATTAAACAAAAAACGACGACCAAAATATTTTTTGAAAGTCCACGTGTTGTTCTTTGTCTACTTGTCCACTTTCTGCTACACTGAGAATTCCACTTACCAGGAGATGGTTTGGACATGAAATCAAAGGTGAGCACATTTGGGACTTTCATTGCCAGGAGCTGCAGCATCACACTCGCCAGGTTGCACCTGTGAAGAGAGACAAGGGTTGTTCATCTGTCCTAATCCGCCAGCCAGTGGGTCAGAACTGATCACTGAGGAGTGCCAGTGAAAACTGCAACTCTGGGAAAACTTGAGCAAGCAAGAGAGATGCAGGGACAGATGGCAGGACGTAGGAGTAACTCAAGCCTACCTCTGAATCTCTGGCACGGTCGTCTTCTCAAACTTCTCAAACTCCTCCTCAGTGTAGAGCCGGTAGCAGATGCCACTGTCCTCTCTGCCAGCCCTCCCTGTGCGCTGCCAGGCCTGGGTCTTTGACACCCGCTGCACAGCTAACACCTCAAGACCACTGTCTGGAAGGAGGACGGGCCCCATTAGTGCCACGCTCATCACTGTTGTTTCTACAGTGTTGACAAAAAGAAGCATTCCCCAGAACACCAGTGATTCTTTCTGCAATACAGGGGTCCACAAAAACTCAAAGCTAAATTAGAAAATGCAAAACCAGACTGCTCTGCAGTGGTTTGGCCCCACAGTGAAACAGGCCTTGCAATAAGCCCTGTGTGAAATCTGTTACAAAAACATCAGAAAAGCCTCATGCTCATAGCAGGGAGCCAGAAGAGAAGATTACAGGATGGCCAACCACCCATTTTGCCTGAGACTGAGGGTTTGCCTGGGTTGTGGGACTTTCGGTGCTAAAACTGTGACAGTTTCTAGCAAACTAGGATAGTTGTCACCCTATCAATCAATGACTCAAATTTTTTTTTTGGGGGGGCACCTGGCCAGGAGGGGGATCTGAACCCACAGCCTTGGTGTTACAAGGCTGTGCTCTAACCAAATGAACTAAATGACCAGCTCCTGACTCAGAAATTAAGTTCCTCAAGTCACCTGTGTGCTTTAGCCTCCCCCCAGATCTAGTATAAAACAGATAATATGATGTTTGTTTCCTAAGAGTAAATGAGATTAATTTTCTTGATAAAGGTGTATTCTGCGTCAGGTACTAGACACGCAAGCTCTTTCACAAACAGATTGAGTATCCCAGACAGAATAAACATGAAAAATAATTACAAGATAAATTTACAGGTAAAATAATAGAAAAAAATAGTGATAAGACTCTTACCCATGCTTGGGACCTGAAATTTCAGATTTTGGATTTTTTTCAGATTTTGTAATATTTGCACATATATAATGAGGTATCTTGGGGATGTAGACCCAAGTCTACACATGAAATTCATTTATTTTTCATATACACCTTATACACATAGCCTGAAGGTAATTTTATACAATATTTTTAATAATTGTGGGCATGAAAAACATGATCTGTCACATGAGGTCAGGTGTGGAAGTTTTCATTTGTGGTTTCATGTTGGCCCTCAAAATATTTTGGATTTTGGAGCACTTTGGATTTTGCACTTTCAGATTAGGGATGCTCAATCTGTACATTATCTTCTAGGAGATACACGTGTGAAAGTTAGCATCCTCCAATGTTTATAGAGCATTCAATTAAATATTGGGGAATGATAATTTCAGTTACCTCAAATCCTCTGTAGAATAAAACAAAGTATAAAACAGACGCGAGTAGAAATGACCTGAGCAAGCTTCCAACTGCGCACTCCTAGGAGATAAAGTGCTCACTCTCCACGCCTCACCCCAGCCTGGGGATCTGTTTCCTTCCGGGAAACCTGGGAGCTCAAACCAGCCACACTCAAATACTATTTCTGACAAGAGGCTTTGATTGGTATCAGGCTGTCCTGCCTTACAGCCATCATTCTTGCCCAGCTTCTTGGGGGGTTTCAGACCCTCTGCCCAGGTCCCTGACCCTCTGTCCCCAAGTTTGCTGATCCCAGGCTATTCTTTCCTGCCTTGCCTTCTTGTCTCACATACCTGCCTCGGGTTTCCTACCTGCACTTGACTTCTGGATTGCCTCACTTACGGTGCCTGCCACCCACATCTTGGGGGCAAACATGAAGTGCTCATTTGGGGGAAAACTGCAGGACTACAGTCTCAACAGTTGCTCACTACACACAGGAGAGACATTCATGAGCTACAGATTCTCACCAGGGTTATACTTCTTTGCTTTAACCATGCCCGTGTCAACTACATATTTTATTCCTGTAATGGTTATGGAGGTTTCAGCGATGTTGGTTGAAATGATCACTTTGCGATAGCCCTAAAAGGAGGAAGAAAACCAAAAAGCCATATGACACACGTATGATTCAGAAGTTTTGATATATATTCTCACCATTGATTGCCACAATCCACTCATGACCAAGTAAAGATGACTTCATTATTAAGAGTGGTCATTAATATTAATGGCCGGTCATTAAATTGGGCAGGGAGAGGAAGGAATGCTGCAGTCCTAAAGGTTAATCTGAGACGATGAGATGTAGTGGAACAAGCACATGTTTCAGAAGCAGGTAGATGTTATTTGCTGTGTGAGTAAGTAACCATTACTTCTCTTTTGGGGGCCTCAGTATCCCTGTGGGATCATAACCTACCTTGCTGGTTCCTGTGAGGATGACAGCCAGTGTGTGTGTGTGCGAGCACTGTGCCAGGCACAGCAGAGGGTGCAGGACAAATGCGGTTAATGCTGGCCCTTAGAAGAGTCACTCATTTATCATCCAGCTTTTGCTTTTGTACTCTCCCTCATCCCCGGCAACTGCTTCCCTGTTATCACAGGAGGGCTGTGGCTGCGGCTGGGTGTTATATTCCTATGCCTTCTGAACTAGTTGATCTGCTCCCTAAGCATCCTGTCCCATACACCTTATCTGGAGCCTGGTGACAGGCACACAGGCCCCACTGGTGGATCCATCTGGGTGCCCAGGGATGGGTCTGGACAGAAGAGATGGTGCACTCACCTTGGGGGCCCCTTGGAAGACGCGAAGCTGCTGTGCATAGGGCAGGGAGGCGTACAGAGGAAGGACCAGCATCGAGGGGCAGCTGTCTGGGAGGTGCTTTGCAATGTCTCGGCAGGTCTTGCTCATCGCTTCGATCTCCTCCTGACCAGTGAGGAACACCAGGATATCCTGAGAAGAAGGGGCTTCCTATAAAAAAGGTAGAGTGGGATTATTAGGCACTGATGGAAAACAACAATGGTCACTGACGATGTTTCCCAGAGTTACTTTTCTTAAAAGAGAAATGTAATGGAGATGTAAATGAGCCTAAACATTAATGTCTCCCTGGGAGAAAACCCTTGCCAGCAATGCATAAAACTGTAACACGTGTGAGTTAGTGAGCTATGTTTAAAAACCAATTGAGGAAATTTTGAAAGAGAATCACCAGACTGCTTTTAAATACCATGAAAAGCACAATCAGGCAAGCAAAATCTGCATAAAGCTTCTTTCCTTTCCTAAGCAACTTGAAAGATCAAGTTGACAAAAGAGAACACAACTTGGGGAAATCCTAATCAACGGAAATGACCAGAAACAGTCATGCTAAAAAAGGAGCCCTTACTAAAAGATGCCATCAAAAGCACTTTCATACTCCCAAAAAGTACACTATACTTAGACAACTGCTTTCGACACTGAGGTTTACTGGTTTCTTCACCGTCAAAGGCAACGACATCCAAAGGGTTAATGACATGCCCATTTACTTAATCTTTGCTGTCTGTTCAGACACATTAATTTGTAAAGTGCTTTATGGCAAAATCATTTTTTACATGTTTAACATTAATTATATATGTGTGTATATATGTAAATGTACATATTCATATGTATGTATACTTGGGTGGGCAGTATTAACAGGACAAATGTTCAGAGGTATATACATACAGGCTGGATAAAATCTAAAAAATTTTTTACATGTTTAACATTAATTATATATGTGTGTATATATGTAAATGTACATATTCATATGTATGTATACTTGGGGGGGCAGTATTAACAGGACAAATGTTCAGAGGTATATATATACAGGCTGGATAAAATCTAAAACAGTGAACTTCATCTGTGGGAGAATTCATCAAAGCCATCATGTAACCTGAATCCACCAGCAACCGTCAGTCATGAAAAGTCCTCAACAAGTTTGTAGTTAATGGTTAAACAAGGCCCAAATACTATCAAAATAACAGTAAAGGTCACTGTCCCAAAAAAGACAAAGACAAAGGGAGCCAACTGGGTTCAACCCATTTTTGAAAGATGGAAGAGATGGGGGAGAGGGGCTGAATGACTTGGTGGTAGAGGAAGCTACCACCTGGGTGCCTGCTAAGGGGAATGGTGATAGCGGATGAGTCAATTTCCCTTGAGGAGACAGAAAGGCTCAGTGCTCAAGGGAGCAAGGCAGAGGTAAGTTGTGAGAGAATGAAAACCCAGGGGCTGGCTCAAAGTCTGGGTACAGTGTGATTAGAGCCCCCTGGTTCCCTCCTACCCAGCTCAGCCAGGAGGCTGGGAAGCCACATGATGCCATAATGGACTTTACCAGGGGAAAGAGTCAAGACAACAGCTGCCCAGTGACCTAGAAGAGCCACCTATTCCAACTGGACAGCAGCATTGAGGACTCCGGGAAAAGATGGACTGTGTTTGAACGAAGAACAAATATTCATGACTGGAATGTGAGAGGTGTTGGAACATTTGGGAAAAAATTAGCTATAACTATAGAAAACTTGCACAATTGTGTTGTCTAAGAAGGTATAGGGTGGTATGCTGCTAGCAACATATGGTCATATTTTATATACTGATACTGGATTTAAAAACACATTGTGAACACCGACGTTGAGAGGGAGGAGACGAGAGTGGGGGGGAGGGGTATTTCTAAATCCTTATCTACTTTGGTGAGAAATTAGCATATAATGCCTAATACCGAGAAATCAAGAAACAGCAATATATTATTGTCTTCATTGCTGTGGGGCGGGGGAAGAAAAAAAAAAGAAATAGCTACAGAATCACGGTATTTAAGACATATGAAAGTATCCAGAGGCAACAACTATGGGATTGAAAGTAGTTACCCGAAAAAGTGGTAATCTGCAATGGGAAGTAAAAGCAACGGCTATTTTAAAATTACGAGCCTTTTAATATTAACTACTTGACTTTTTAAAACTTCAGACTACACATGCATCACTTAGTAAAAAATAAAAATTAACTCTACAGTTGGTTCAAGACCAGTGTTGGTAACACCAAGATCAAGGGTTTGGATGTCCATACTGGCCAGCCACCAAAAAATAAAATAAGTAAAAGTTAATTTTAAAAGTTTGCTGCTAAATTTTCTCAGAAAAGTAACAGAAAGTTAAAAACAGTCAATTTTAGGGGCCGGCCCGGTAGTGCACTGGAGAGTGCGCCGCTTGGGAGCGCGGCGGTGCTCCCGCTGAGGGTTCGGATCCTATATGGAGACCGGTTCCCGCTCACTGGCTGAGCGCAGTGCGGGCGCAACACCGAGGGTTGCGATCCCGTTGCTGGTCCCCGGTACGGCCCCGGTCAGTAAAAAAGACAAAAAGGAAAGANATTTACTTAATCTTTGCTGTCTGTTCAGACACATTAATTTGTAAAGTGCTTTATGGCAAAATCATTTTTTACATGTTTAACATTAATTATATATGTGTGTATATATGTAAATGTACATATTCATATGTATGTATACTTGGGTGGGCAGTATTAACAGGACAAATGTTCAGAGGTATATACATACAGGCTGGATAAAATCTAAAACAGTGAACTTCATCTGTGGGAGAATTCATCAAAGCCATCATGTAACCTGAATCCACCAGCAACCGTCAGTCATGAAAAGTCCTCAACAAGTTTGTAGTTAATGGTTAAACAAGGCCCAAATACTATCAAAATAACAGTAAAGGTCACTGTCCCAAAAAAGACAAAGACAAAGGGAGCCAACTGGGTTCAACCCATTTTTGAAAGATGGAAGAGATGGGGGAGAGGGGCTGAATGACTTGGTGGTAGAGGAAGCTACCACCTGGGTGCCTGCTAAGGGGAATGGTGATAGCGGATGAGTCAATTTCCCTTGAGGAGACAGAAAGGCTCAGTGCTCAAGGGAGCAAGGCAGAGGTAAGTTGTGAGAGAATGAAAACCCAGGGGCTGGCTCAAAGTCTGGGTACAGTGTGATTAGAGCCCCCTGGTTCCCTCCTACCCAGCTCAGCCAGGAGGCTGGGAAGCCACATGATGCCATAATGGACTTTACCAGGGGAAAGAGTCAAGACAACAGCTGCCCAGTGACCTAGAAGAGCCACCTATTCCAACTGGACAGCAGCATTGAGGACTCCGGGAAAAGATGGACTGTGTTTGAACGAAGAACAAATATTCATGACTGGAATGTGAGAGGTGTTGGAACATTTGGGAAAAAATTAGCTATAACTATAGAAAACTTGCACAATTGTGTTGTCTAAGAAGGTATAGGGTGGTATGCTGCTAGCAACATATGGTCATATTTTATATACTGATACTGGATTTAAAAACACATTGTGAACACCGACGTTGAGAGGGAGGAGACGAGAGTGGGGGGGAGGGGTATTTCTAAATCCTTATCTACTTTGGTGAGAAATTAGCATATAATGCCTAATACCGAGAAATCAAGAAACAGCAATATATTATTGTCTTCATTGCTGTGGGGCGGGGGAAGAAAAAAAAAAGAAATAGCTACAGAATCACGGTATTTAAGACATATGAAAGTATCCAGAGGCAACAACTATGGGATTGAAAGTAGTTACCCGAAAAAGTGGTAATCTGCAATGGGAAGTAAAAGCAACGGCTATTTTAAAATTACGAGCCTTTTAATATTAACTACTTGACTTTTTAAAACTTCAGACTACACATGCATCACTTAGTAAAAAATAAAAATTAACTCTACAGTTGGTTCAAGACCAGTGTTGGTAACACCAAGATCAAGGGTTTGGATGTCCATACTGGCCAGCCACCAAAAAATAAAATAAGTAAAAGTTAATTTTAAAAGTTTGCTGCTAAATTTTCTCAGAAAAGTAACAGAAAGTTAAAAACAGTCAATTTTAGGGGCCGGCCCGGTAGTGCACTGGAGAGTGCGCCGCTTGGGAGTGCGGCGGTGCTCCCGCTGAGGGTTCGGATCCTATATGGAGACCGGTTCCCGCTCACTGGCTGAGCGCGGTGTGGGCGCAACACCGAGGGTTGCGATCCCGTTGCTGGTCCCCGGTACGGCCCCGGTCAGTAAAAAAGACAAAAAGGAAAGAAAAGAAAAAACAGTCAATTTTATACAAAGTAAACAAAAATAAGGTGATTGAATCACGCAAAATTTTTAAGTAAATGTTTAACAAAATGAGAAGAAACCTTGAAATATTTCTGTAATACAGTTTTTTAAAAAAAGCCTCTTAAGTTGCAACCAATTATTGGGTCAATTTCCACTTTTTTTTTTTAAATGAGGTGGAAAATATCACAGAACACCACACGTAGCAAAAGAGGCAGTGTTTCACAGACTTATTTCAGTTATATAGATTGTACCAGGTTATAACATAAAATGTGCTTCTTACTGGGGGTTACGATCAAAAAAGTCTGTAAGCCACTGCTCTAACATATGGAAGTTTTTTAGCTCAGTGGGAGAAAGATGCTGGTTGGAGGTGAATTATTGTTCTTTTCAGAGAAAATATGAGATACTATAAAAAAGGATAAAAACCTGGGCCGAGGCCGGCCCATGGCTCACTCAGTAGAGTGCGGTGCTGATAACACCAAGGCCACGGGTTCGGATCCTATATAGGGATGGCCGGTTTGCTCACTGGCTGAGCGTGGTGCTGACAACACCAAGCCAAGGGTTGAGATCCCCTTACCGGTCATCTTTAAAAAAAATAAAATAAAAACCTGGGCCGGCCTGTAGCTCACTCGGGAGAGTGTGGTGTTGATAACACCAAGGCCACGGATTCAGATCCCATATAGGGATGGCCGGTTTGCTCACTGGGTGAGCGTGGTGCTGACAACATCAAGTCAAGGGTTAAGATCCCCTTACTGGTCATCTTTAGAAAAAAAAAGGATAAAAACCTGGACATGGCAAATGAACTCCTTATTCACCTTGATGGCACAGCTCACAAACCTGTTTCACTCTGTAGCTTTTCTTTTCAAGGCCAAATGCTTGCTACCCACTGCAAGGTAAAGGAGAAGAGCACCCCACTCCATACCTGGTGGATCTGGAAGACCGAGATAAGTGCTGCGTGCAGGTAATCATGCTGAGGCTGTTTGGTGTAAAAAATCTGAATTGGATGCTGCCGACCCTCCAGGTAGAGAACGGGGGCTCCATTGAAATACTGAGAGAACAGGTCCACATCCATTGTAGCTGACATCACGATCACCTGCAGAAGAGAACGAAGAGAAGGATGGGAAACAAACACTGGGACTGCCTTGGTGTCCTTCCCATGCCTAAAAACAGATGGTTGATTTGCTTAATTTTCATCATGGTTAATTTCTTCTGTGGTTCTGAAGCAGATTGGGCAGAGGAAAACACCCTGAGGTAGAAACACAGGCCTATTTCCTTACATGTACCATACATACTTTGAGAGACAGTTTCCCCAGTTCCTTTCGCCTCTTCTGTGCAGCTTTCACCACTCCAAAGAGCACATCTGTATGGATTGTCCGTTCATGGGCTTCATCCAAAATGACACAGCTGTACCTCCGAAGCAGGGAGTCTGAAATTGCTTCACGCAGAAGCATGCCATCTGTTAGAAACTTGATCCTGGTGTCTTCTGAGGTGACATCCTCAAAGCGCACTGTATAGCCAACCTGCTCCAAGAAACAACTTACTCACTCATCAAACGTTTGTTGAATACCCACTGTGTATCCAGCATTGTGCTAGGCAATTGAGCTATCACAGTGAACAAGGCCAACACCGACACTGTCCTGCCCCTTGGGGAGCATGTAGTCTATCTGGGGAGACAATGGACATGTGCCTTTAACTGCAATTATGACACAAGGCATTACAAGGAATTTAAAAACTAACTGCCTACCTTATGCTACTTAATTGTTTCATGTGAAGCCATGTACAGATATGCAAAGATGTCCAAGGTGTTTCAGTGAAATGAGTACACACACACACACACACACACACACAAATCTCTATTACATATGGTTCTAAGAATCATTCACAATACCCACATATATGCTAGAATAATCCTTACCATTTTTCTAGAAAGATATGTAGATAAGAGATTTAACAGAAGATGCTCAAGGAAAACAACTAATTTATCCCTCTTGCCAACAGATTGTGAAAGCAAAGCAAATGGGACTGACAGCCTTTTAGAGCCTCTGATCTCCCAGTTACTGCTGAAGAACTCTGAGACAGGCCTAACAATTGTGGCAAGAAAGAAGCTGGCTACATAAACCTCTTTTCAAAAAAAGAAAAGGCAGGGAGCACAGTGGAAGAGCTGGTTAGTAAAGAAGGAAAGTATACCAGCTTCCCGAGTTCAGTTCTCTTCTCATCTGAGACTCTGGTAGCAAGAGAGATGGCAGCCACTCGCCGAGGCTGGGTCACGGCAATGACGCCCTGGCGGCTAATTCCCCCTTCATAGAGGTACTGAGGGATCTGAGTTGTCTTTCCGGAGCCAGTTTCCCCTAGGAAAGAAAAAAAGTCTCATTTAAATGCAAATTGAGGGCTGGCCAGTTAGCTTAGTTGGTTAGACTGCAGTATTATAACACCAAGGTCAAGCTTTCAGATCCCTATACAGGCCAGCTGCTAAAAACAAAAACAAAAGTTACTTAAATGCAAATTGACACAAAGTTCACCAGACAACCTGCTCAAAGTCAGAAGAAAAAGATAAAAGAAAACACTCTGAGTTGGTAAAACCTCAGGAGTATTAATCAGTGGAGTGTTAATCGGTGGCCAAACTTTAAAATTCTTTAGAATGTTTATACACTTTGACCCATAATTCCTGTAGGTAAAGTGAAAGTAAACGGTCAGGGTCCCTCAGATGTTCAGAATCTTGCCCAGCATTTGGTGTAAATACGCACGTGCACCCAGGTGTTCCTTGGTTGTCTAATGTAATTGTGCATGTGCACCCTGGTGTTCTTTGGTTGTCTGACTCCACCAAGGTGTTCCTGGATTATCGGACTTAAGTATAAAGGATGAGTGGCTCTGATCCACAATGCCCCCCACCCCTGGGATGCCACTACTGCTGTTGGAGGTTGGTGCTGCAGGCTTTTGCTGCCAGTGCCCCCGCAGCTGCCCTGGGAGGCCGTTGCCTCCGCTGCATCTGCTGTAAGCTGCTGCTGATGGAAGCTGAGGATGAGGAGCTCGCTTTGGAACAAACCTGTCAATTTGCCAACGGCTCCCGAGATCTTTCCCAATTACTTAGCTTGCGACCTGCACGTGAGGGTTCTGGTGACCCAGCCTGCCTGGCACGTGAGGGGTCTCTGAGCCTTAGCCCGACAATTCCACTTGCAGGAATTGATTCTAAGGAAATAATTAAAGATGAGTATAAAAATACAACTTCAAAGATGTTTCATTCGACTTTACTCATGACAGCAAAGACTTGGAAACAATATAAATGTTCAACAATAGGTATCTAGCATAGCTACAACATAAAATGAAATACAATTGTTATATTGATTTGGACGTACTGACATCAAGAGAAATCCACTCATACACTGCAGCCATAACAAACTCCTTGCCATCCCCTAGCTTGCCACTTTGTTTCAAATCCTCTGCCTTTGCCCACACTATTAAGGAATACCTTGCCCTCATGTTGACTGTCTGGCAAACTATGGGATAAGTGAGGCTTTAAACGCTCTCCTCTGGTGCTGCACAGGTGGCCCTCCTTTGGGCTCTTTAGTTTCTTGTTCATCTCTATTCTAACACCGACCATCCTACATTGTTCACAACTGTTTAAATGTTTCTGTCCTCCTCCAATACTGGAAGGTCCTGGAGGCAGAGAAGGTCTGTCTGTCTCTCCACGAACTTGAGCATCCTGCATACAGTAAGCACCCAATAAATGTTTTTCCTACCCTCTGTGGGTTCCTTTAACAACACCTAATTAGAACAAAGGACTCAGTAAACCTGTGTGTACCCTTCTCTTCCCTAGCTACCACTACAATTCTTTGACCTCAAACAGTCCTACGGTCCCACTATTCTTGCATTTTTCTCCCAGTCCATCAGCCCCTTCTGACTACTCCTCCTTACAAGAATCACAGACTAAGAATTTGATTATTTTGCAATCTTCCTACTGAATCCACCAGGTAAAACCCCAAACTTGGATCAATGTCTCTCTGTCCATCTTTCCTAGTCCTGCACCAGGGCAACCGAGCATCGCTAAAGTAAAATAAGCCAACTGTGCAAGGACATGAGTTTGTAGTGGGGCCAAAATGCACCTGGGCACCAACACTACCATTGATCTTTTTCTTGTTTTTGACTCCCACTCTCAGCAGAACTCCTGCACCTGTCTCGCAGAAAAAGTGAAGTTCTCAAATGTGATCTCCCTCTACCTCCCCCTACAAACTTTTTCAGTCCCACTGTTCTCAACTTCTTCCCCCAGCCCTGCAGACTCTTACAGTCTTCCTCCTATTCCAGGCCAGCTCTGCCTCTAGCCCTTGTTGCCAAGTGCACTCTTTCCCCATGCCTCCTGATCTTTGCTGCTAGCTCTATCCCATTTTCAGCCTCCATCTCTACTGAGTTTTTCCCCTCGACCTATAAATACTTGCAAGTTCCTCTCAAGTCCCCCTCCCTTTTCTCAAAACAGAAGCCTGCTCCCACTACCTTCATTCTCTCACCTCCTTCATACATACATCTCAGCCCAGTGACAGATCAGCTCTTACCCCCACGGATCTGTTGAAATAGCTCTCAATGGAATCCACAATCAATACCTCGCTTCTAAATCCAGTGGACATTTAAAAAAAATTTGGTCTACACATTACTGGGCCTTACTGTTGCATCTGCTCGTTCCCTTCCTACAAATCTCCATTCCTTTGACTCCCAGCACTCCTGGGTCTCCTTCCCTTCTTTGGCGGCTCATCCCTTCGGTCTTTCAGGAACTCCTCTTCCTTAAACGTTGGGGATCAAATCAGTCCCTGCCCTTTTCATGCACTAGAAACGACTGCTTCCGGTTCGACCGGGCTGTTTCTAACCTCCAGTCGTGATCTCCCTCTGCCTACAATGCCCTCCCTCCGGAACCATCTTCCCAGCCGCCGCCTCACAGATTAGGGCAGATTCAATCTTCTAAACTCCCGAAGCCCCCGGGGCGCCCCTCTACCCTCTCACGGGGAAGTTGTCTTTGCACACGTCGGTCACTCCCTCTGCGGCTCAGCGGCAGGGGCTGCTCAACTTTTCTCCGAGGCCCCTCTACAAGCCTGGCATAGAAAAGGCGTTCAAGTTTGTTGAAAAACAAAGCGGGGTGAGAGGCACCTAAGAAAAACTGTTCTGGCAAAGCCGGGACGGAGAGCAAGGAAGTGCCGGCGGCGCGGCCACCCACCAATGAGGACGGCGCTGTCCAGGTTTCGGAGCTGGGCCAACAGCTGCCCCCGCGCCTGGAAGATGGGCAGACTCCGGCGCTGCAGCTCCACGGCCTCACGATAGGGACTGGCCGAAGGCTGCGCCAGGGGCGGC